TCCGGGTCGGACGGCTGAGTGTCGCTACTGGGTATGGTTATACTGTGACAATACTCAGTCGAGCTACCATCTGGGTTTCGGAGAGAAATATCGCGAACTATAAAGAGAACTATAGTGAAGAAAGCGACGGCGCGCTCCTCCACGGCCGGCGAGACCGTGAGGACATCGTCGTCGTCGTCACAAAATATATAATTTTATAAAAAAGTTTCATAATGAGCCGGCACTGATTTCTGACATTCACCCGACATTGAGAAATATTATATCATATATCTAATTCAAATTTTATTACTCTTTTTAAACTGAATTTGTTTCTTAAGATGATTTTTGAAAAATTATATATTTGCGTTGGTTATGACATATGTAGACTATATATAACGCTTACATCAAATTAAGAAGTAGTCTACCACGTAAGGCAGTTGGCTCACGATCCAGGGGCTCTATGCTGTAATTTCTTGCGTTATGATTCCGCTAACGAAACATGCGTTACTCTATAACGCATTACTCTCGGAAATCGTATTCTTTATGCTTAATTCGTTAACGCTTTGCGTTATGAGTCCCGTGTTGTTCGAATATTTTCGGAAATATAACGCAAAGGAAGAAGGAACTAGATGACGTTACAGCTGTAAAGCCAATCAGAGTAAGAAAATATTCTAACCGCCAATTTTAGAGAACTCGCGTGAACTTTTGCATGTACTATAAGCGGAAGATATATAAAGTAAGTATTTATATATTACTTATTGTATATATTTTTTAATTATTGTAGTCTTAAGAGAGATAAATACAGAGTAATAATTGTAATAATAGAAATAATTGTTTATAAATTGTACAACCCGTAGCAGGATGACGTCTAAAGACGTCTTAATGATGTTTTATTGATATTAAAGACATCATTAAGGGCCTAAGCAGAATGGCTGTCTCGGCAGTGTTTTATGCCTTGTCTTTGTCTTATGTAACGCACAATACTGTACAGTATTGTGCGTTACATAAGACAAAGACTTAAGGCATAAAACATTGCCAAGACAGCCATTCTGCTTAGGCCCTAAGACGTTATTAATACGTCATTTCACGTCACTCTGCTACTTGGGAAATGATTAATTTGTCATATGACGTATATGTCGTATATGTCGTATGTATGAGGTTAGTTTGGTTAGGTTATGTGTGTATGTATGTATGTATGTATATTGTTAATTAAAAGTCAGATTAATAAATTAAAAGATATTTTAATTAGTAGTTATTAAATATATTTGAAAATTAAAAAAAAAACAAATTAATTACAATTTATTTTGATATTATTGTAATTTTAATATTATTATAGATATATATAGCAAAGTATACTTATTGCAAATACATTATAATCCATATTCTTCATTCAATTTATGAAATATATTATTATACTTACAACGTATTAATCTGTCATGTTAATCTGTCTTATAATTGAATTGTATATAAATATAACTTAATTAATCTAAAAATTCTACTTTTAATATAATTTTTAATAGAATGCAAATGTTCTTAATAGTATGGAAGTTAAACAAAAAAAGACAAGAGCTTCTAAAACAAGCAGTATCCAATTAGAATATCTTATTGGATACATGCAAAGTCACAATGCATTTGCTACTGGAAAATTATTAGGAGCAAGGGGAAAGGCAGCCCACGATACACAATGGCAAGAATTGGCTGAGGAGCTGAATCGCTTAGAAGGGCCATCAAAAAGTTAGAAGCTTGGAAAAAAGTAAAATATGAATTTATCTTACATATTTCTCATCTTTAAGTTATTTTCTCACATATTTTTCTCAACACAAAAAAAATTTTTTTTTCATAATTTTTGCATGATGTATTGTAGCTTTGGTGTGATCAAAGGAATCAAGCCAGAGGCCGGGCAGCAAAGGTCAAAGCAGATCAAAAACTTACTGGCAACACTGGCAATGCAATCCAACTAAAGGATTTGGATTTACGCATTTTGTCTGTTATTGGTGGCGAATCGTCTGTAGGTCTGCCTGTAATGGAGATGGGCTTTGGAGAACGACCTGAGATTTGTTATTTTTTCACTAAAAGTTATATACAAAATATATATAACATAATGTGTCTATAGTGGTTTTAATTAATTATGCTGTGCTTACTTTAAGGATATCGCTGATCCGTCTCTGACATTGGGATTGATATCATCTACTGACTTAAATGAATTTATTATTATTCAAGAAGAATCAAATGTAAATATTACATATAAAATAACGCTGTTAAATATACTTTGTATATTTTTATATTAAATTGAATACTTCATATAGGCAACAGAAACAACTGAGGAGAGTACAAGTGCAGTTATCCAAGATGTAGAAGAGACAATTCTAACTCCTAAACCGCAAGAAAATCTACATCGTAATGAAAAACCATCTAAACCTCATACTATTGTATCAGTTCCTGTATTGCCTATTAATGAACCTCTTAACCAGCACGATAAACCTAATACAACTGTTCCCGTATTGTCTCTTGATGAACTTTTTAACCAGCACAATATACCTAACAAAACAGGACAATTATTGATAACATCTAATATACGTAATTCAACCAGTCACAATAGTAAGCATGAAATATTAATAGTATACATATTCAATATTACCTAATGTCACTTTATTATGTAATACATATGTTATGGTTTAATCAAGATTTTTTTTGTAGGGAAACGTTTCAAAAGCTCTTCCGTGGAAGAAAGCGTGAACTCTTTTAAAAGATCAGCAAGACAGACATATTAAAAGTTTACAGGTATGTAATAATTTATCTTCTTGTATGCTTTACTTTTCTTTCAAATACATATATCGTATTTATAAAAAAATTATTAAACACGAAATTATTATGATTTTAATAGATAATTATTAATTAGAAGTGACATACAATAATTATTTAAACTTAGTAATTTTTATAATTTTAAAACATCTATTATACTACAATCTTAATACATTTATTTCATCTTATTTTCAGCCATTGCAGATAATGGCTAAAAATTTAAGCCGCATTGCTTCTGCAACAGAAGAACAAACTGATCTGCTTCGAAAATCTTTAACACTACATAAACAAACGCTAGATATCTTATCTAAAACTATTGAAAGTCTGAAAGAAAAAAAAATAAATAAATATAATAAGTATTGCAATAATAATTGTTATTATAAGTTTAACGTATGAAACAATATTTTGTTATAAAGAACAATATTTAAGTTATGTTATGTTTCTAATACATTTTTTTTCATAAAACAGTATTTGTTCTAAAGTAGCACATAACAATAAGTATAATGTATGAAATAAGAACAATATTGTGTTACGTTTGCAATACATTTTTTATTTGTATTTTATAAAAGATTGTATTTATTTTCTAAAGTATGCACATAATATATTTTTTATATAATTGAAAAGTTGTTATTCTTCTTCTTGCAAGCCAAATTGAGTGCGAAGAATTCTTCTCTGTACTCTTCTAGCTTCTCTCAATCTATTATCAGGATTTAAGTGCGCTTTATCTGCTCCTATTATTTCTTGTGCTTGCATTCTAACACGATCACGTGCTTCAAGATTACGTCGTTGCATATTTTTTTGAAAAACTTCAGCTTCACCCTCTTCATCAATATCAAAGTCTACGTCAATAACATTATAGCGAAGTCGTATATTATGTAATATAGCACATGCTATTATTATGTTTGATGCCATGATGGGTTCATATTGCAGTACGCGATGATGTAGAAGACATCTCCATACGCTCTTTAAAACGCCAAACATTCTCTCTACACAATTTCTAGTAGAAACATGACGGTGTGTGTATCGCGCTTTCTTCTGGTGCATCCGTTATAGGCGTCATAAGCCAAGGTTCTAGGCCATAACCTGAATCGCTTGTCGTCACATAGTATAAATAAATATTTTTAAACATTGCTCAATATACATATACCAAACACAATGCTAATCACAATACTGACCCAAAAGCCACGTTGTTCGATCTCCAGATTCATACAAATGTATCATTTCATTTCTCACGGCAGAATGTTTCTATATAAAACTATCATGCACAGTTCCCGGAAATCTGGCATTTATACTTAAGATTTATAAATCATGCGAGGATATCTGTAATAATATTAATAAACATTAATTATGTTTAAGCGTATGTAGTGCAACATGCATTGAAAAATATTACTATGTTTTGTTGTAGTTTACTGTACTTAAGGGGCTACATCCACCTAGAGGCCCGAAAAATAGGTCGAAATTCAGATTTTTTTTTCAGAAACGATTAATGGAAATGACATGAATTTTTTTGTACTTAAAGATACATGTTTTGAGAGCTTAAAAAAATTTTTTTTATTACAAAATGTCTAAAAATAAAAAAGTTATGGCCGCCGGCAGATGATAAGTTTTTTTCCGACACGTTCGGCGGTGGACACTGTGCAGTTGAAACGGTCGATCTGAAATAAAAAAACCAAAGAGATTATTCAAGTTAACAATAAAAACGAGTCCTTGACGATCGCCGATTTTTAAAATCGATTTTTTAAACAAAATGGCAACGAGCTGAAAATCGGGTATGGAAAATCTGTGAGAAAATGTCGTCATTTTTACATAATTATTAAAAAGTAAAGATTGATTAAAAAAAAGTAAGATCGTCAAAGACCTCTAAATGTTTCTCAGCGTATTTTGTGTAAATTTCAAAACGATCCATCGAGTAGTTTTCCAGATATGATGTCCACCGGCTTCGAAAGCAGTGTTTTGAGAAAAACGCGTTTAAAGTTTCAAGTATGGTTCTACTATTGTTAAGTGAAGAATTTTTAACTTTACCTCTAGTCGTCAATTCCAGGACCATATAAAGTACCCTCAGCAGCAATTGCAGCTTCGTAGAAAGAGGATTGCTTTGTCTGCGAGCAATTCTTCCTTCGCGCGTCGCCTCCTGCACTCGAATATCAGACAAATTGATGCGCTCTCGGTCTTGATTCTTGCAGTATGTAGCGCAATTTCGGCCAACATCGATGTTCAGTGCTTGCATCATTAGTAAATATGTACTAGCACCTTCATTAAAAGTGCATGCGGCAATATTTGCAGCAATTTGAACAATTGATGCACCGCTGTTCTGAATTTTTGGTGCTATTCGCCAAATAATGTTATTCAAACTTTCGTTTGCATTTTGAGTGAATCCACCGACGCATCTCTCCAATAAATTGTCATCCGAAAGATTTTCATATATCGGACGAATTGCTTTGATAACATCGTCGTGAAGTGGCGTTTTATGCTCATAATGCTGAAGAGTTTCTGCGGCTTTTGCTTGCTGCCACGAGCACCACGATTCCGGTCCTTGAGGGCAATTATCGTGTCGAGGCTCTTCATTCGTTGAACACTTGTGGTAAAATGTGGCCCATATAGCATCCTTCATTTTTGTCACAGAATCGCAGTTTCTTCTGATGGCGAGGCCGTAATAAACTGTCAGTTCATCGATCAGTTTT